AACAGTGCAATAACCAAACATGTTTATCAAGATGCTACCATGGGGACATTACAAGAATATGCCTTGCTCCCAGTCCTAGGCCTGGATCTCAAAAATGGGAGCTGTTCTAAATGGACCGCAATGGAGTTCATATTATAGTCTCATTATGATTACTGCATTCATTTCAGCTTTGGGGGTGAACTAAATTAAGCACGGTGTATTGCAGAACGAGCAGCATGGAAACGAATTAGCAATGAAGCTGGAAGCATCTTTAGATGTGAATTCCTGGTGCTGAACATCCATATACCTTCCATTACGCAGACAGATCACTATCACAGATCACTGTCCATGCTAAGTGGCAGTGATCCCTCCGAGTTTCAGACAAGGGTCTTTGGTAGTCCTACTTGGGGATGCCAGGGACTGAAATCAGGACCTCTGCATTCAACACGTGTGCTCTACCAGTGAGCAAAACAGGTCTTCTGTCCAAAGGACCCATTTCTCCCCATTTCTGGAAAAACATTTCAAGGTAATGTACTCAATGTGTCAATGTGTAACAGTGTCCTAGATTTATAGATTCAGAAATTTAAACCACCACAATTGCACGGCCCCTAAAAAGCAAAATTGCAAGAGTGGGGCTTTCAATCTTGATCTAAACACTGCTGTAGGAATTTGAAAGAGAGCTTTAACCCTTTCTCCTCCCAAACAAGATGGGGAGGCACAGGCTTGTTATTTGCACTAGAAAAAAGCTCTCACTGGACTAAAGGGGAGCCTTTCCCCACACTGGCCGTGTAGTATCTGTGTAGCCTTCGGTATGGTATGAGCCCTCTAAACTCACATTAGATTAACGTCACGTTAGACCAAGGTCCCCATAAGCTCAGTGTACTTTTTAAAAAGCCATTCACACAATTGTTCACAGTGCAAGCAGCATCTACTTTGCCTCTCAGTTTAGAGGCTTCTGCATCTGCCAGTGAATATATTAGGATGGAAAACTTAGTAAAATGAGAAGCCTGGTAGGAATTTTCTGGGCTGATTTAGATGATCCCTTTCCAGTGCTTGTCCTGTTTCCCTGAGGCCACATAGAACTGACACCAAGGGAATAAAATCCAAGGATAATACAATAATTGTGCTGCATGAGGGCGCTATCATGTAACTGCTGTCCTTTCTTGGAAAACGGAAGCACTGGCCAGCAGGTGCTCCTGCATGATCCCCCACCTTAAGCATCACACTCAGCGCAAGGTCCAGCTGGTGCCAATGTGGTTGCCAGCACACAACGGATGAATCGGGCCTGATTTCATTGCAATCTTCAATAAAGTCAAAGCATGAGAAAAAAACCATGATGCCCTCATTTTGATTCAAACAGGTATGGGCCACATGCAGGCCCCAAACTGTCTGCAGCCCTGATTGCTTTTGCAGCCCTGATCTCTGCTAAATTTAATGCCAAGCTGGGAGCAAATGCAGTGGTCCTTTTGAAAGGAAACAAGGGGTACATTCCCGATGGATATTCTTTGGGAGCACTTTCTCACCTTCAGAGGCTCTGCTGGAGCACAATTCTGCTTGCAAAGGAAGTGCATGGGAGGTCTTTTTTTAAAGTTGTGTTTCTTAATGTCTCTGCCGCTGCATCAGCAACTGCATTAGCAAATATTTCAGCAGTGACAGCCAGCATGTGGCCCCTGCTGGATCACGGGAGTAGAGAATGCAGCTCCCTGAGCCCCAGAACAGGTCTCTCACAGGTATCAAGGCATAGCACACAAAGGCACCTCCCAGCTGAAGATCTCTTCCTCTGCAAACAACTCTGCAAACAATTATCACTAAAAGATATAATTAGGGATGTACATAGAGAACCATTGTGGTGTAATCATCTGGGGCTTGGGATAACTGGCTTCTAGACACCATTCAGTCACCAAGCACACTGACTTCACAGAGCTATATAAGCTACTTTGGTTTCCTCACAAGAGGAAGACAGTCAAAATATAAAACAATATTGTAATTAAAAAGGCAAGCAAAACTTTGTCAAAATTCTCCTTATTCCAGCTCAAGTCTCATTCCCTTTCATGCACATATTGGTTTGCGAGCTTTGCTTTTTATTTTTTGCATAAACATTCATGCATATATTTGTGTTTATTTTCTAAACATACACATCACTCAATGCATGTTGTACATATTCTTCTCCCATGAATTAAAGCAAGCCTGTCTATATTTTTCAAAAGTACATTCTTGAATGCGTGTGGGAGGCTCAAAATCATCCTGAAAGCTCAGACATATAAGGAAAGCTCAAAGCTGGCGTTCAAATTCTATGAGGCGTGAACTGCCTAAGTCATGATCAAAAACTGGGATTAATTTCTCATGCAACCTTGATAATTATTTGTGGAAGAACAACTGCTAGAAAACGAAGCATTCTGTCCAGAAAGAGATTAATCTTGGAACTCAACTGGCCAGATGGTCACACCATGACTGCCAGGTCCAGCAATATAACCATGGCATTCTGGGAAGTGTTCTGCTGGGTCGTCCTGCTAGTAGCAGTAGAAACTAGGCTCTGAACTGTGTGTGAAAAGAAGAGTGAGATCACTAGCTCCAATTACGTTTTGCACAAGCATGGTTGTTAAACCGGCTGTGCATTATGCAAAAGCAGAATGAGCAAGGGCTTGTGCAACACAAAGGTTTGGTGGAATTCGGAGTCTGTAAGGAAGGCTGAGCGCCGAAGAATTGAGGCCTTTGAATTGTGGTGCTGCAGGAGACTCCTGTGAGTCTCTTGGACTGCAAGGCAATCAAACCAGTCAGTGCTAGAGGAGATCGACCCTGACTGCTCTTTAGAAGGCCAGATACTGAAGATGAAACTCAAATACTTTGGCCACCTAATGAGAAGCAAGGACTCCCTGGAGAAGAGCCTAATGCTGGGAACAATAGATGGCAAAAGAAGCAAGGGACAGCAGAGAATGGAGTCGCTGAAGGAGATGGTGTGAGCTTAAGTAGACTCCCGTGGATGGTGGAGGACAGGAAGGCCTGGAGGAGTGTTGTCCATGGGTCGGACACGACTTCGCAACTAACAACAATAAGTGCTACTTGGATCCCACTGGGGAGGTGAAGGCCTCAGCCAGACATCACTGCACCTGCTCTTTCCTTTCCTAGTATGCAATCCCACAGCTTTCGTTTTGGCTGAGGTTTTACCAATTTGTACTAATGCCTTTCCTTGAGATTTAAGCAAAAATACCTTTCTCTGGATTGGGGCTGGTGAACAGAAAAAAGAGAAGAAATATATAAGGGTCCAGGAGCTCCTGCCCATTATTTATGCACATTCAAATGGATGTCCCAATTACCCAGTTTAGCTCTGGGCCATGACATCATCCTTTTAGATATTACTTACCAGCAGGAGTGGTTTCTTTCTACTATTCAACATTCCCCATCCATAAAACGCATGAAGAGTTACTTTATCTTATGTAAGTTTATGACTAATTTCTAAAGAATTGAATCATACCGCTCAATGTCACTCTCACATCCTATTTCCTTTTTTATTATTTCTGTCCCCCTGCGTTCTATGATCTTATTTCATAGTCATTTACACAGTTAACTTTACTCCGGTTATGAATCGTTTTTGGCCAAGGCCAATGAATCATTTCTACTTTGATACACAGATGTTTGGCCTGGTGAGTGGCTGATGGTTTATGGCGGTGTGACATGGCAGGGCTGGGAATAAGGACATGACGATCACATCCCACGTACAGGTAGCCAAGTATCAGTAGGCTGAGAATTATTGCCCTATCATTTAATACAATTAAACATGTTTTTGTGACAGTCTCAATTGAATGCAAAGTGGTTTTCAGATCACTGCATGAAATGGTACAGAATGCTGTTTCTATGCTTTGCCATAGTTCCACAAGTAAGACTGATAGTGTGCAACTCCATGCGCACTTGGAGGGCATCCATCTGCCTCTCCCACTCTACTTTCCACATCCATCACTCAGCCCTGTCCAATTGTAATTTCTCTTTGGTGCCAATCAAGTGACAACAGAGAACTTTTAACCACTGCAAAATTAATTTCTTAAACATAACTCCCTAATTCCTGAATCTATCCAACTTTTCCACCCCACCACAGGGCATACATGGCAATTATACAAATTGAGGGGGGCATAAAACAAGAAAAACCATGGAGTAGGGGAAGGGGGAAAGAGTTACTCCCTCCCTCCAAAACTCTAAAGATCCCCTTCCCCAAAACACACTACAAGTTTTGCAGGTTTCTTAACTAAGGCCACCTCTGCGGCATTTTCATAACAACTGCTCATAAATAACATATTTTTATTTGGTAATCCTCAATTTGCACACACGCTCTGTTTTCGTGGCAGAGCGGAGGATCCTTCTGTCTATAGTGACCTGAATGTTAGTAGAAAAGACCCTGTCAGAAAGGGAAATTATGCCATCAGATTTCACCCAGTTCTCCCAAGAAATAAAAGGGTTAAAAAGATCGACATTGCATTCAGTCCCATTGAATTCAATGCTCTTTGCCCCCTAGGTAAAACTTGCAGCTTGAAATCACTAGCCTAACTAAATCAAGCCATTCTCATGCATAAATTGCAGCCACAGTTGTCCATAAGTATATATATAATTGACCTCTTCCTCCCCAGAAATTCAGTTTAGCCCTTTCTATTTGGTATTTCTCCAAAATATGCCAGTTGTTGCAAGAATAACTTTCCCCAGTAAACAGAAATTAAATTTTGGAGGTTTTTGCCCCTACTTATATTTTACACCCTATGTCTGTTTATTTACTTTATCTATTAGTTTTAATTATTAGGTTTCTATGCCACTTACTAAAGTCTCCTAATCCTGTTTACTTGTATAGCCCCTGTGACCTAATGGGACTTACTTCTAGGTAGGTGAGCATAGGATTGCATTCTTATTGCCCCCAGTACGCAGCCAGAAGACTGAAATATCTACACCCACACCAAATATCTGAAATCCACATAGCAGAAAATTTGCACATCCAGCAAAACAGAGCGTGTAAAGTGGGCAGAATACCACCAGCTACTCACCAAGCGGCTTGCAACGCCAAGAACTTTCCAAAAGGGACGAGAGAATTCCCGGAGCAGTACCGGAAGAAGATCTTGGGGGTGCAGGAGAACTGAGAGTAAGGAGGCGAGGTGAGAGAGAGGGAAGACAATGGGAGAAATGTGATCCGATCGTCCCGCTGGAGCTCCTTTAGTACAGCTTCAACAGCGTGATGTGGCTGAGCGCCCTCAAGTTGCCCTTCCTAGCTCTAGAGACGCGCGTGGATTCCGCGGAATCAGCTGTACCGAAGAAACGTTGCAACTTCCTGTTGCGAGTACAGCGATCCAGCCTCTGGGATAAGCACCGCCGGGGGGCAGGAGGAAAAGGGGATGCACTCCCTCCCCCGCGCCCGCCCTCCCCCCCCCCCCCCCTCTGTCAGTATAACATGCTTTTCAAAGTATGGGATAAACAAAGACCATCTGACGAAGTTCAGGCTGCACCCGCAGATTCCTCCCTCTTTGCTTCCCAGGGAATCCATGTAAACAGGTCTCTAGCCCCAGGCTGCAGACTGCACTTAGAGCACGCTCAGGCTTGCGCTGCACGATATTGGATTCCGTGAATTCCAACTCTCTCGGCTTATCAGCCTGTCTTTCCGAGTAGCCGGCCATGGCAAAATGCTGTCCCCGTTTTGCCTTTTGAAAGAATGGTGGGTCGCCCGCAAAGAGATGGATGCGGAGCGCGTGCACGCATGCCCTTGCAACTTGTCTAGCTTCGGCTCTCTGCTCCTGTGCACCCTTAACAGGGGTGTGGATTAGGCTTCAGTTTTTGTTTTATTGGGTTGCAATAAAAAGGAGCCCGGATTCATAAAATTATCTATGTTTACTGCAAAGTGTTTTAGAAAAATTCGAATGTGGGAGAAACCAAAATGGACAGACTTGTTTGTGGAAGCTTGGAGTGATTCACCTGTTGAAGTCTGGAGCAGGTGGGGAAAATGCATTCAGTCCATCTTTGAGAAGAATTTACCAAATTGTTAACATTTTGGGAGGGAAAGATTTAAACAACTGCATGCAGGGGGAAAAGCAAAACTGAGAGTTCACCCATCTCTAGTATGGATTAGTATTGTCTTCTCTCTCTCTCTCTCTCTCTCTCTCTCTCTCTCTCTCTCTCTCTCTCTTCATTATGTCACAGTGACCATGAGGCTAAATTCCCATTCCCATTCAGTTTGATACAAGAAGGCTCATTTTCAAAAAGACATTCAGCAGTGAAGGAATTTTAGAGACATGTTCACAGGTGGGGTTTGGGTTTCTTGGGTTTCCACATTACAGGATGAATATAGCCAGGCTAGAGTCAGTGCAGTGTAGGGCCACAAGGATGGTGGTTGGTTTGCAGGGTAAGCTAAATGAGGCCAGACTGAGGGACCTGGGTCTTTTCAGCCTGGAGGAGACTCCAAGGGGGTCTGTTGGTGACATACAGGTATGTGAGGGGGTGTCACACAGAGGTGGGTAGAGACCTGTTATCCCCTGCAGAGGAAGGCAGGACACACTCCAACGGAGCCAAGCTCAAGGACCCAAGGTTCCTTGAGGGTATGGAATGGGTATGGAATGGGCTTCCACAGGAGGTGGTTGAAGCCCCATCAGTGAGGGTGTTCAAGGATAGGTTGGAAATGCACATCGTAGGCATGTCATGAGTGGAGCCAGCTGCAGCCGGGGGTCAGACTAGATGGCCCGGGAGGCCCCTTCTGACTTGCTCTGTTTCTATGTGTCTTGGGGCTCCTTCACTCATGGGCAGGAGTGAACACGAGTCCTGTTTTTCATTGCACAATCATCTGGCAGCCTGTAGCCTCCCTGGCTTCTTAACCATCAGTTAAAGCCATCATGACCTAATTCCTCCCAAAGGGCTTTTTTTCATATCAGGAAGTGCAGGCAGCCCCAGAAACCTGATGCGATTAGAAGACCCCAAAAAGTAAATTTGAATATGGCCTGACAATGAGGTGGAACAATGGAAGTGCCTTGCATGGGGGAAAAGAAAAAAAAAAGGCAGGAAAATGGAGTAGAGATTTGGGTAGCACCCTAACTCTCCCTCATCCCTGGAGCTCGGCAACTGCACCTCACCCTCCCGCTTGCTGTGAGGGGGATGCAACACATGGAGACAGTGGAGCAGTTGCAGTACGAAGACCCTTACAGCAAAGCAAAGCTGCGTTACAGGCCCGGGCAATGGCAATGGGGAGCCCCATCTGTGAGAAAAGTTACTGAGCATTTCTCCTTCCCTTGGAAAAATTCCATCAATGCCTCCCAAGTTTCTCCACCCGCTGATAAAGTGAAAAATTTCAAGCGGTCTTTTGCACTCTGCTCTAGTATAGATGTGTCTATGCATTCAGCCAGTGCCAAACAACATGTTATGCATGTAAGTGACCTTGGTTTTATCACAGCCATGGGGATGGCAGAATCTGACCTACAATGTGCTGGGAAAAGGATATAACCTTCCTCCCCTCAGCAGCCCTGGTGAAAATCACACCCTCCCTGAAATGGCTATTTATCAGAAGGGAAAATTATGAATTTCTTTAGGGAATGTACTATGGTTGAAAAGAATATTTCTGCCCCCCCATGCAAAATAGTCCCAATCATGCTGGTAGTGGTGTTCTCCAGTGCTGCTTCTTTAGATAAAACACATTGAATGCATTATGTATCAATGTAAGTGAAATTCCATCTACTGCAAAACAAAAGCTGCAGGGATCATGCCTTCCTTTCCCTTCTCCCACAGATATTTATGCAAAAGGTCACTGTTGTTGAAAGTGCTTAGTTAGGGCAGCTCTAAAAGGAAGATGTGTTGTGTCATAGTGAGCATAAGACTAAACATTCTTAAGTTTAGGAAGAGAAATGGAAACAGTGAAGATGGGTATAAATGAAACATCCTGCTTCAGAAGCCTGGACACCTGTGTCCCTATTTTCAGTGGTGAAAAGTTGGATGTTAGGTGCAATTTCACTCTGGATGATGCTTCTGCTTTGTGCAGCTCACAGAACTCGTTAAGCATCACCATTTTCATTAGGAGGACAAGTACCCCACTGAGAGTATGATTTGGCATGGTTCTTCCCTGGCCTTTGCTGGATAAATGTGTCCCACATCCCCACAACCTGTGGAAACCAGGGAGTTGCCCAGTCATACTCATGTGTCAGCCATGCCCTATAAAGTTATAAGTGCCATCTCAGCTTGTGTGCATGAGGGCACATATAGCATTTTAATCTAACCTTTGTGGACCAATCGGAACTACTGAAAGCAACGCAACCTCATGCTAGTCTGTCTACATTTAAAGGGCTGCCAGGTGCTTTTTTCCATCATCAATGCATTGACAGAAACAGATTTTGCACGAATATGTTTTATACACATTTGTGCAAATTCATAGTCACACAAATTCTGAAAATGTGCAGATCCCAACAACAAACAAAAGCAAATATTCCAAACGGCATATTTTCATGACTTAGCTTAGCCAAGAGATGCATACTTTCAGTTGGTGTTTTAATTTCTCACATTTTTCCATTGCTAAATTTCTGTAAAATCATGGAAGGATAAAGAGCAGCTCATACCAAAAAAAAAAAAAAAAAGAATCCCGGCAACTGAGGAGAAGCCAGACTGTTGCAGAATCAGAATCACTGGGTTGGAGTCTTAGAATTTTTAATTTGAGTTCATGGTAGGTTTTTCTGATAGTCCTAGTGATGGTTCTGAAAGGAGCTCTATGGAAGTTCCAAAGTATCCATATGAGAGAATGAGTTCTCTCAGGTAGCCTGGTTCCAAGCCATATGGGGTTTTATGGGCTGTAAGCAGCACTGTCAAGTCTGCCCTGAAACAGGCTGGTAGCCCGTGAAGATATAACAAGGGAGCCAGTGCTTCTTCAGATCAACATTCTGGCTGCAGCATTTTGGAGAACCAGCAGAACAGTTTGAAAGAAGCCCCATCACAGAAGTCCAAATGAGATGCAGCTCAGGCATCTGTGATGGCGGCTGGACCAGATGACTCTAGGAATGGTTGCAGTTGGCTCAGTAGCTTCAGTGCACGAATGAATCAGTCCTGGCCACAACTGAGCACACACAAACTGTGAAATGGAGTCTTCAGGGGGAGTGTAACCCCACCCAGCATAAGCTGTATTCCTGTTCTCTGAGCTGTCTTTTAACTAGCCAGAAGCGCTTCTGCCATGTCTGGATTAAGCATTGGTTGTTTGCTCTCATCTGGTCCATGACTGACAGCAGGCACTGATTTAGAACTGGAACAGCTTCCTTGGGTGTATACAGAAAGGAAAGGTGGAATTGGGTGTCATCAAAATACTGGCAGTACTGAAGTCCCAGCAGTTTCAACTATACCCAACAAATATTAATGTGTTATTGAAAAGTATGAGTGCAGCAAGTTTTAAAATGTATCAGTTGATTTCCACAAATCAAAAATAAGTATTTGATACATTCAACCTTACATTGAAATAATCTTGACTTTTTTTTCAGTTCAGAAAATCTTGAACCACAAAAGTAAAACCTAATATTGAACCACAAAAGTAAAACCTAAATTGACAGGCCCTGAATAACAAACAAGGGAAACATTTACAAAGCTAGTTCACACAGTTGCATCTCTCCTGTAGAGGCAGCAGGAAAAGGAGGAAAGTATTGAGGATGGGCAATGAGGGTGAGTCCCCTTTTCAGCTCTTCTGGTACTTCCCGTTGGCTTCAGCCCTTATGGCAAAGAGATGGCAGTCTTGTGACATCATTCACCAGGTACCATTTTGAATCTCAGCCCATGGAACACTGCTGTTAGGGTGACCCTAATTCCAGAGGTTTCTATGGTGCATACGCAGACCCCAGAGTCTTCACCAAATGTTTGCTGTGAAGCGATCTTGATAAGGCTGAAGCTTCTGGCTGAAATCCAAAGAATGAAATTCAGTAAGGACAGATGGCAAGTTCTACACCTCAGAAAAGGATGTGCAGTTGTGACGTGGGAGTTACTTGACTCAACAATGCTACACGTGCGAAGGACCTTGGAATTGTTGTAGATCACGAGTGAATGTGAATGCCAACAATGTGAGGTGGCTGCAAAAAAGCAAGTGCTATATTGAGCTGCGTCACAGCTTCCAGTTCACATGAGGTATTGGCTCCCCTCTATTTGGCACTAGCTAGGCCCCATCTGGAGTCCTCGTGTCCCATTTTGGGCACCATACTTCAAGAAAGATACAGACAAACCAGAAAAAGTGCAGATGAGAGCAACAAAGATGATCGGAGCTCCGAAAACAAATCCATATCAGGAGAGTTTGAAAGAGCTGGGTATGTTTAACCTGGACAAAAGAAGGCTGAGAGGAAATATGATAGCACTTTTCAAATACTTG